AATAATAATAATAATAATAATAATAATAATAATAATAATAATAATAATAATAAAAATAATAATAATAATAATAATAATAATAATAATAATAATAATAATAATAATAATAATAATTCTATTAGTTCCTGCCCCCGTGTGCACGGCTTTCGGTGCTATACAATAATACAAGCACAAAAAATAATACCTGTAAAAAAAAAAGGGTACTATTTGCTCCTAGATTCTATGCACACACACAGGAAATCATACTGTACAACGCAATCTGCAGTGGCTAGCCGTACTTAGATCTAGGGTTGGCCCTATCGACTCAAGCCTGTTAAGTACACAGGTCTCATTGGATCTAGATCTAGTAATTATTCAGGTTCAAATACATGCAAGTCAGTAAGGCACCTTTTGGTTTTGTCTGAAATACAAATACTTTAGGCATTGCAAACTAAACATTTCATTTACAATTCAGCCATCAATATTAAGTACGGCTAGACGTCCTTACGTACGGCTAGACGTCCTTACGTACGGCTAGCCTCTTCCAATAGTAATATCACAACCCATTGTCAGCTGCACTGTTAGATCACACGGAAGTGAGGCTATCGGGAAATTGTTTCATAAATTAATGTGTCTCTAAATATGTTTTAAATTTGGACTCGAGTGTTGAAGGGAGCTCCACACTGGAACAAGATGGGCAAGGGATCTTTGAGCTTACTAGAGTGATTCTGTCTACCTGTGTGTATCAACTGTATGGTACAGATTTAGTTTAGTTTTAGTAAGTTTTTACGGCGCTCCCAACTGCACAAGGTCATATGAACGCCAAGGGGTAGATGTCAACTGAGAAGTCCGAACGGGGAATCCGGCTTACTCTGCTCACCTCTATAGCCTCAACACCACATGGTCTGTTTCGACAATCAAATCACCCCAGCGAGTCACAAGAGAGTGACAAACATACAAAATAACGTAGAGGAAAATTACAATAGTATGGAGGAGGAAAGAAAAAGCAGCAGTTCCCCCTATGTTGTTCCGGCACAGTATGAGCATGACATTGATAAATCAGCCCATTTACAATTCTACTGTGCATTAGAACATGTTACTATCCCCCGTTTGAGAATGGCTTAAAGACTCTTCAGTCAGTAGCACTGGCCTGATCTGGTTACAGATCTGATCTCATTGTATGTTACAGGTCTCACTGCACACTTGTAAGTTTGGGCTTAGTAAGAGTTTAACGCCACTTGCAACACAATTAGGCCACATATGTGCCGAAGATTAGAAGCGTTACAAGAGAGTGACAAACATAAAAAAGGGAAGAGGAAAGAGATAAGGACAATAGATGCTTGGTAGGAAAGAGATAAGGACAATAGATGCTTGGTGGGAAAGAGATAAGGACAATAGATGCTAGGTAGGAAAGAGATGAGGACAATAGATGCTTGATGGGAAAGAGATGAGGACAATAGATGCTTGGTAGGAAAGAGATAAGGACAATAGATGCTTGGTAGGAAAGAGATAAGGACAATAGATGCTTGGTGGGAAAGAGATGAGGACAATAGATGCTTGGTAGGAAAGAGATGAGGACAATAAATGCTTGGTAGGAAAGAGATAAGGACAATAGATGCTTGGTGGGAAAGAGATGAGGACAATAGATGCTTGGTAGGAAAGAGATAAGGACAATAGATGCTTGGGAGGAAAGGGGAAGAAAACTCTACAAGAGCACCCACCAAGCATCCACGTATACATGTACGTCTGACTGTGAACATGTGTGTACATAAGTCTGTATGTTACAGTGTGTACATAAGTCTGTATGTTACAGTGTGTACATGTGTGTACATAAGTCTGTATGTTACAGTGTGTACATGTGTGTACATAAATCTGTATGTTACAGTGTGTACATGTGTGTATATAAATCTGTATGTTACAGTGTGTACATAAATCTGTATGTTACAGTGTGTACATGTGTGTATATAAATCTGTATGTTACAGTGTGTACATAAATCTGTATGTTACAGTGTGTACATGTGTGTACATAAATCTGTATGTTACAGTGTGTACATGTGTGTACATAAATCTGTATGTTA